TTTTTTGCGGTACGCGGGCCTCACACTGTTGTGGCCTCTCCCGTCGCAGAGCACAGGCTGTAGATGCGTAGGCTCAGCGGCCACAGCTCACGGGCCTAGCCACTCCGCGGCATGTGGGATCTTCCCAGACTGGGGCACGAACCCGTGTCCCCTGCATCAGCAGGCAGACTCTCAACCACTGTGCCACCAGGGAAGCCCAAGTTGAATTTTTTACTAATACATTTAATGAAATTCTCCTGTCAGGAAGTTAAAAACAAAAATTTTCAACTCTGATTAAGTTTTCCCAGCATCTTGCAAAAAGAGATATGTATTAGCATAGTGATTCAATGAATATTTATCTACTATGTGGATATCAGTCAGTGAAGATGTAAATAATAAGTTTTTTCACTCAAGGACTTTTGGTTGGGTCTTATACATACAAACAGTTATAATACAACAAGATAATTCATTTAGTTAAGAGAGGTTGGTTGGACAAGACATGTAATAGAGTACAGCAGTATTTAGAGAAATGGCCACCATACCTATTTATCCTTCCAGGCTTCTCTATTGGCTTTTATGCTCTGGTGCAGCACCCTTTCCTTTTTGTCAGTCTTTTCATCAATTTTTAATAACTTTACATTTCTCTCTTATTCCCAGTCATTTCTGTAATCCTCTTTGGGGGATGTTTTTCTTAATAGAGATTATGATCCTCCTTTAGCTCTCTAGTACATGAGTTATTATCTTGTAGTGAAAATTTAAGTCAATAGAAAGGTAGAATCTCTCTTCATAAATAAATGTGAAGTCTACTTCTCTGCAGGATTTCTAGTATGAAAGTTATAAAACATTGCATTTTAGAAATTCATCTGAAAAATTAACTACCCCCTGCCTTGATATTCTTTTTGGCATCTTGGACGCTTTGCCATTCCAGTTGACTTTATCTTTTCAGTCTTTCCTTTATAGACTTTTCTCCATCCTTGTACCTTCATTCTTAAAACCACTTCTACAGCCTACACGTATACTGTGCTCCCCAATTCTCACCTTTTCTCTCTGGCCACTCCTTCTTCCTGTCTTCTGCTTTATATATGTGAGTATAGCTAACACCTAGTTCTCCACTCAATTATTCTTTCTCTACAGTCATCCTAGGAGGTCACTTCTATTTTTTGTGTTTTTGGCCATTCAAAGAACTTTTAAATCCCCCTTTCCAAACCTGCCATCTCTCCCAAGTTGAAGTATTATATCTCTAACTACTTTCAGTATCCTAGCTGGGCGTTTCACTAATACATAAAACTTAACATGTTTAAAGACAAATTCATTATACTGTACTTCCACCTAACTTTACTCCAAACATGCTGTTTCGGTTATCACTACCATCATTTTAAGTTTTATTTATTTTTATTTAATACCTTTCTTGGAGTATAATTGCTTTACAATGGTGTGTTAGTTTCTGCTGTATAACAAAGTGAATCAACTATGCGTATACGTATATTCCCACATCGCCTCCCTATCCCACCCCTCTAGGTGGTCACAAAGCACCAAGCTGATCTCCCTGTGCTATGCAGCCGCTTCCCACTAGCTAGCTATTTTACATTTGGTTCACTACTATCTTTCAGCCAATCCTAGAAATTCAAAATCTTGGACATTTTTTACCTTCTGCCCTTCCCCTTCAACCAGTCATAAGTCCTGCAAAATTCCCCTCAGTCCACTGCTGCTCACCTTATATCTAGATTTTTGAAAGTAGTCTGAACTGTTCCCTGTATCCTTAATTTCTTTTATTATCCAGGGCTGAGGCTTCAGCCTGAGTGTGTGCAAACACTCATGGCCACTATCAGGGTCAATTAGTAAGTACTTAGGGCGCCGTGGGCCATATGGGCTTTGTTGCAACTACTCAGCTTGCTTGTTTTAGCAGTAAAGCAGCCATAGACGATAGGGAACAAACTGGCTTGGCTGTGTTCCAATTAAACTTTACTTACGAAAATAGGTAGCCAGATTTGGCTTGAGGGCTATGGCCATAGTTTGCCACATTCTAGAATCAAGTATTAACTCCTTGTGTTAGCATTCAAGCTCTTTCACTGACCCCTATCTTGATGAGTTTATCTTCCATTATTCCCATCAGTGAATCTGACTCTCAAGCCACATGATTATTGTCATTTATTTGTGAATACCAACATAAAAGTTGGCACCCATATTTGACAAAGGATTTGCATCCAGAATATATAAAGGCTTGTATTAAGAATATTTAAAACCCTCTAAAACTTTGAATAATCCTTCCTTTTTGGCATGTTCTTCCCTTTTCTCACCACTGTCCAAGACTTCTGTCAAGACCCAAGAGACCTCTATTTTTTGTGATGTTTTTTCCACCTTAGTGAATCCCTTCTGAAATTCTAAGACTTGCATTTATTTATTAAATCAGCATTTATTGTGTTCCTGAAGGTATCAGGCACGGATAATTGTCTTTTATTGTTTTTGGTGTGTGTTTTTTCCTTGAAACTGGATTATATACTGCTTAAAGACAGAAAAATTATGCCTGCGTTCCTTTCCAGCCTTCTCAGCCATCTCCCATCTCATTCCTCTGTAGTAGGATGAGATTCTCAAATGTGGTGGTATAGTAGTTGCATGTATGGTTTATACAGTATACCTACTTCAGTTCAAAAGTCAAGAGCAAGAAGGTAATGAAAATAGTAGAGTAAGGACCACCAAAAATTTGCTCCTCCATAAAAGCAGTGAAAAAAACTGGCAAAAACTTTCAATTAGTAGGCCCTAAACTGTCACCCTTGGCTGACCTTGAGGCTCTGCACAAGCAGGAAGTGAAGACTTAGGCAGAGTTGTCAACAACCTGGTTGAGTGTTGGAGGTGTGCCCCCAAACTCATACAGAGTCCCTCAGCAAAGACCAGGAGACTTAACTGGGTCCAGGTGTATAAGGAAATCTCTGTTCAGTTGTTAGCTGACCATTAGGTAGAAACTTCAGTGGCCACATACTGTAAAGAATACAGGCTTTACAGAATTAGTTTAGGAAAGTTGTTAAACAATGAGAAACAAGAAAAAGCCACAGCAGCAATCCCTGAGGAGCAGGCAGGAATTTGATTTCCAGTGTTACCACATTATTTTAAATGTTCAGTTTTCAACAAAATATTATGAGACAGATAGATAGAAACAAGAAAGTATAGCCCATATATAAGGAAAAGAAGCAGTCCATAGAAAATGTCCCTGAAGATGCCCAGACACTGAACTTGACTAAATATACATTTTAAAATCATCCATTTAAAATATGTGCAAAGACTACAGTAATCAAAACAGTATGGGGGCTTCCCTGGTGGCGCAGTGGTTGAGAGTCCGCCTGCTGATGCAGGGGACACGGGTTCGTGCCCTGGTCCGGGAAGATGCCAAATGCTGCGGAGCGGCTGGGCCCGTGAGCCATGGCCGCTGAGCCTGCGCATCCAGAGCATGTGCTCCGCCACAGGAGAGGCCACAACAGTGAGAGGCCCGTGTACCACAGAAACAAAAAACAAACAAAAAAAACTCAACAGTATGGTACTGGCACAAAAACAGAAATATAGATCAATGGAACAGGATAGAAGTCCAGAGATAAACCCACATACCTAGGGTCAACTAATCTGTGACAAAGGAGGCAAGATATACAATGGAGAAAAGACAGTCTCTTCAGTAAGTGGTGCTGGGAAAACTGGAAAGCTACATGTTAAAAAGTGAAATTAGAACACTCCCTAACACCATACATAAAAATAAACCCAAAATGGATTAAAGACCTAAATGTTAAGGCCAAATACTATAAAACTCTTAGAGGAAAACATAGGCAGAACACTCTGACATAAATCACTGCAGTATCTTTTTTGATTCACCTCCT